AAAAAACGCTGTAACTATTCCCTGATGACAAAATCTAAAACAAATACTTCAAAACATACAGAAAGTTCACACATCTATTAGATGGAATATTTAGCATTATCCTCTATATTTTCATTAATTAATAAACACACCTTGGACAATAAGTTAAATTTCATGAGTTTGGCTTTATAGAATTATGTTTAATATAACAGTAGTATCTTCAACTCAGAAATTTGACCTTTGATGAATGGATAGATGGATGGTTGGGTAGATGAAAGGATACATGAGTGAGTTAATAGAAGACAAGGATGCTTGACAATGTTCTATGTGCTTAAAAATTGCATCTTTAAAAAAATTAGTGTTTTCTAGTTTGTTGAGTAGTAAATTATGACTCAGGAGAAATTCTGTGTTTTAAAAATTTTTTTAATTGACAAGTAAAAGTTGTATATATTGATAATGTACATGATATTTTGTATATAAGTATGTCATGGAATGGCTAAATCAAGCTAATTAATATATGCATTATCTCACATACTTATCATTTTCTTGTGGTAAGAACACTTAAAATCTACTCTCTCAGCAATTTTTTTTATTTCAAAGTATTATGGGATACGAATGTTTTGGGTTACATGGATCATTTTGTTTTTCATGGATCACTTTTGTAATGCTTGAGTCAAGGTTATAAGTGTTTCTGTCACTCAGATAGTGTTCATTGTATCCATTAGGTAGATTTTCTCCCATCCGCTCCTCCCCCCTCCCCCCCATTGATTTCCATTGAGTTATACTTCCCTCTGTGTACATGTGTGCTCATTGGTTAGTTCCAATTTAATAGCGACTACATGTGGTGTTTGTTTTTCCATTCTTGAGATACTTCACTTAGGACAGGGGTCTCCAGTTCTATCCATACTGTTGCAAAAGGCATTAAGTCATCCTTCTTCATGGCTGGGTAGTATTCCATGGTATACACAAACCGCATTTTGCTAATCCACTTATGAATTGATGGGCATTTGGGTTGATTGCACATCTTTGTGATTGTGAATTGTGCTGCAATAAACATTCAAGTGCAAGTGTCTTTTTGACAAAATGACTTCTTTTCCTTTGGGTAAATACCCAGTAGTGGGATTGCTGGATCAAATGGTAGGTCTACTTTTAGTTCTCTGAGGACTCTCCATACTGTTTTCCATAGAGGTTGTACTAATTTGCAGGCCCACCAACAGTACATAAGCATTCCTTTCTCTCTGCATCCATGCCAGCATCTATTGTTTTTGGACTTTTTAATAAAAGCAATTCTGACTAGGGTAAAGTGATATCTCAGTGTAGTTTTAATTTGCATTTCCCTGATGATTAGTGACACTGAGCATTTTTTCATGTGTTTTTTGGCAATTCATCTATCTCCTTTTGAGAATCTTCTGTTTGTGTATTTTGCCCACTTTTTAACGGGGTTGTTTAATTTTTTCCTTGCTGATTTGCTTGAGTTCTTTGTAGATTCTAGTTATTAGTCCTTTATTGGTTGTATAGCTTGCAAATATTTTCTCCCATTCTGTAGGTTGTCTATTTGTTCTGTTGATTATTTCCTTGGCTGTGCAGAAGCTTTTTTAATTTAATCAAGTTCCATTTATTTATTTTTGTTGTTGCTGTGATTGCCATTGGGGTCTTCTTCATAAATTCTTTGTCTGGGCCAATATCTAGAAGAGTTTTTCCAACATTTTCTTCTAGAGTTCTTATGGTTTCATGCCTTACATTTAAGTCTTTTACCCATCTTGAATTAATACTTGTGAGTGGTGAGAGATATAGATCCTGTTTCATTCTTCTGCATGTGGCTATCCAGTTGTCCCAGAACCATTGATTGAATAGGAATTCTTTTCCCCAGTATATATTGTTGTCTGCTTTGTCAAAGATCAGTTGGCTATATGTGGATGGTTTTATGTCTGGGTTTTCTGTTCGGTTCCATTGGTCTATGTCTCTATTTTTGTGTCCATACCATGCTGTTTTGGTTACTACAGCATTGTAGTATAGTTTGAAGTCTGGTAATGTGATACCTCCAGATTCATTCCTTTCGCTTAATATTGCTTTGGCTATTCAGGCTCTTCCCTGGTTTCAAATGAAGAATAGAGTTATTTTTTCTAGATCTGTGAAATATGACATTGGTATTTTGATGGGGATTACATTGAATCTGTAAACCACCTTGGGAAGCAATTTTCAATTACAATATGTTGTTATTAACTGTAGTCACCATGGCGCTTGAAAATTTTGATTTCTACCCTTTCCATAGACTACATAAATTACTTCAAGCAAGTCATTATGGTACGAGTTTCTTCATCTGATTTTTGTGAGAATTAAATGAGGTAACATACATGAATTATTTAGCACCCCGCCTAACACATGGTAAACAGCATATTTTAAATTGCCTTTGAATTGAAGTGACATATAGAAAAAAGCAAAAATTAAAATGGTATGAAAAGCTATACAATACAAAATAAGTCTCTTTTGATAAAGTTTTCTGCTGTTATTACTATTATTAGAGATCTCCAAGCAAACATAAGATTTTGCTGTTAAGAAGAAAGGTTTACAAACCAGTAAGTAACATTGTTTGACTCAGAACTAAGTGAAAAAAACACAAGTATTCTGGCTAAATTCCAGTGTGAGTGATTAACATTCTCCAACTTCAAATAATTTTTATTATTAGCCAACATTTGTCCATCCCCAATAATACACACGTCGCAGAAAGGGCACAGAATGAGACAGGCCTCCTTTGGCATGTTCAGTCTGCGCATACTTTCCACTGAGGGTTCCCTTTCTTTTTGACTGCTATTCCCACAGCTTTTCAACTCCCCCTGCTTTCAACCCTGGGATGTTTGCTGACCCAGAGTACTAAATATCTGCAAAAAACAAAAGAGAGAAAATATGAACACCTGTAGAATTCCAGGGAATGAAAGATGTACATTTGAAACATTTATTAATAGCTTTGATGTCTGTGAAGTGATTGGTATTTATTCCTTTTTAACTTTGAGGCTGGGATTAATATATACATATTCTTTATTACTACCCACAAAGCTTTGCAGGAGGAAGACGGTGCTTCTGCAATTTAGTCTTCCAGTCTGTACAAATGGGACCTAGGACAGGAGATCTACAATAACCTTAAGTCAGTCTCAGCCATTTAGTCCAGTCCTTAGTCCTTTGAGTGTCCCCAGGCCCTTCTGCCTATTTTTGCCTTTTTCCCAGTGGAAGGAAGCGGTGGGGAAGCGGGAAACAATTTAAACCCTCTTCGTAAGCGTGTGAATGAATTTCAAGTATGCCAAACACCTCAGTCTTCCAACCTAATTAGAACACTTAGAAAAGAGGCATTTTTAGGACATTTAATACTTGCAGCATAATAACCCATCTGGAGAGCGCCACTGTGTGTCCCTGCTGTCCTTGCACCACCCACCCCCAACCCCCGCTGCGCGCGAGTGCACAGCTTAGCAGCGGGCAGCCCCGGAAGGGCCCGGGCTCCCTGCCCAGCTCAGAGCCCTAAGTAGGTGTTGCTTCTCTCTGCGGGCGACTTTGGAACTGCCTGCGATTATAAACCTCGACTGATAAAGGACTACCATCCGAGTCTCCCAAAGGTAGAACGAAATTCACTTTCTTGCCATAACAGTAAGAGTCTGTTATGAGATGCAAAAGTAAAAATGCAAAGGTAAAGGTCGAAGCCTGGGAGATATGGATAGCATACGGGAGAGGGAGTGGTTACTATTGGAAATGCCCAGCTCCCTAGGTTTGGATTCCAGGTTTGCCATTTGAGCGCCAACTGTGTGCTAGGCGTTCAGAATACTGCGGTGAACAAGATTGTCGAGGTTGCCGCTTTCTTGGAGGGACTATTAGGTTGGTTGCCTTGGTCAAGTTTCTAAGTCTCGGTTTCTTCACCTGTAAGGAGTACCTGCCTACAGAACTGTTGTCTGGGTTGAGATCTTGTATTGGGAGGTAAACGGTTAACACGCTGTTGGGCACACAGTAAAGGTTCAGTAAGTTTTCGCGCTTCTTTCACCCAGTACCAAGACAGCGCAGAAGGGAGACAGGTGCCACAGCTAGGAATGATGCTTTGAGCAGTTCTTTTAAACAAGTGCTGGACTCTGTAAGGACGTTTAGCTGCAGAAAGGAAACTTAGTAGGGGACCTGGAAGCAAAGGTTCTTGGCTAGCACAGTACAGGAAAGTGAGTCCCGCACCCTCGCACTCGAGCGGAGAACTCCGGAGAGACTTTCTGGCAAAGGTTTCCCGCCCGGGTTCTCAGGGCGGCGTGATTAGCATTCGCCCCGCCCCCACCGCTTCCCGGCCCCCGATTGGTCAGCGCTCCCCGGCGGCCCGCTGCGGGCGGGGCCGGAGGGCTCCAGGGGAGAGGCCAAGCCCGGGGGGCAGTGGGCGGGGACCCGCGGAGAGCGTGGCGGGGCGGCCCACCAACCGAGCCCGGGCCCGAGGGGGCGGGGCCGGGGCGGGGCCTCCCGGCGGGCATTAGAAGCAGGTGACCCAGGAGGGGCGGGAGAGGGCAGTCGGCCCGCGGCCGTGACTGCGCCGCCGCTGCGCGCCGTTCAGTGCCCGCTGGAGGTGGACGAAAGGGTGCAAGAGCGCGTGGGAGGAGCCGAGCCGGGCGCGTCCCGAGAGCGCCGCCACCGCCCCCAGGAGTCCGCTGGAGCGCGGAGCCCCCTGCAGGGGAGGAGGCGAGCGGCGGGCGGGACGCGGCGGCGGGCGCGCACCATGCAGTCCCCGCCGGGCCAGCGCCGGCTGCTCGCGGTGCTGTGAGGCTGCGGGGTCCTCCGGCCGCCGCATCCTGCCTTCCTCCCGCCCAGGTGCTGCCGGGCGCGCTTGCCCTTCGTCCGGCTCCCGGACCCCGGTGGAACGCACGGCCTGCCCCTGCCCTGCTCTGTCTAGATCATGCAGGGGGCCCCTGAGGAGGAGAGGGCGAGTGACCGGTCTGCGCCGCCCATGTTCTGGGGGCGCCCTCCTCTCTGAGACGCCCCCACCTGCTGCCATGTGCCGCCGCCACGGGTACCCAGCCTGTCGCTAAACTTTCCTGGCGCCAGCCGGCTCTGAGTCGCGTTTCTGGGCGGAGTGTCCCGGGGACGGAGAACCCAGGCTGACTGCGGACCATCTGCTCCTCTCGGCGGGATCCGTGGAGGTGAGAGCCTGCGCCTTCCCCTTCTCCTTGTTCTCCGGGTTCATCTGCCTTTTTCCGGAGGGCTGAGCGCTCTGGCCTCGGGGCATAGCCTGGAGGGCCCAGCTAGGAGAGAGAGGGTGGGGGAGTCAGTAGTTTGGTTCCAGGAGGTGGAGGGGAGGAAAAGAGAGGGGTTAACTTAGAGATTTGGGGACCGCCTGCGGGGATCGAGCCGTTGACGCCCCTCTAATAGGGAGTGGTTGCAGTTTTTCTTCTCCCTCTTCTTTTTAAAGAGTCCTTTCTCTGGAATTGGAGCCCTAACCGTCCCTCCCCAGCCCTATCCGGCGAGGAGCTGAGCGCTGCCAGCGGAGGCAGCGCCTTCCCGAAGCAGTTTATCTTTGGACGGATTTCTTTAAAGGAAAAAGAAACCAACAGGTTGCCAGCCCCGGCGCCACACACTGGACGCCAGAGGGGGAAGCCCAGCCGGGATCCCTTTGCCTGCGTTGGCCCCTCTCGGGCTGCTGGAGGCGAGGGGAGGGAGGGGGCGATGGCTCGGCCTGACCCGTCCGCGCCGCCCTCTCTGCTGCTGCTGCTCCTGGCGCAGCTGGCGGGCCGGGCGGCTGCCGCCTCTAAGGCCCCGGTGTGCCAGGAAATCACGGTGCCCATGTGCCGCGGCATCGGCTACAACCTGACGCACATGCCCAACCAGTTCAACCACGACACTCAGGACGAGGCGGGCCTGGAGGTGCACCAGTTCTGGCCGCTGGTGGAAATCCACTGCTCGCCGGACCTGCGCTTCTTCCTGTGCTCCATGTACACGCCCATCTGCCTGCCTGACTACCACAAGCCGCTGCCGCCCTGCCGCTCCGTGTGCGAGCGCGCCAAGGCCGGCTGCTCGCCGCTCATGCGCCAGTACGGCTTTGCCTGGCCCGAGCGCATGAGCTGCGACCGCCTCCCGGTGCTGGGCCGCGACGCCGAGGTCCTGTGCATGGATTACAACCGCAGCGAGGCCACCACTGCGCCCCCCAGGCCCTTCCCGGCCAAGCCCACCCTCTCAGGCCCGCCCGGGGCGCCAGCCTCGGGGGGCGAGTGCGCCGCCGGGGGCCCGTCGGTGTGCAAGTGCCGAGAGCCCTTCGTGCCGATCCTGAAGGAGTCGCACCCGCTCTACAACAAGGTGCGGACGGGCCAGGTGCCCAACTGCGCGGTCCCCTGCTACCAGCCGTCCTTCAGCCCGGACGAGCGCACGTTCGCCACCTTCTGGATTGGCCTGTGGTCGGTGCTGTGCTTCATCTCCACGTCCACCACAGTGGCCACCTTCCTCATTGACATGGAACGCTTCCGCTACCCTGAGCGCCCCATCATCTTCCTGTCAGCCTGCTACCTGTGCGTGTCGCTCGGCTTCCTGGTGCGCCTGGTCGTGGGCCACGCCAGCGTCGCCTGCAGCCGTGAGCACAGCCACATCCACTACGAGACGACAGGGCCCGCGCTGTGCACCGTCGTCTTCCTGCTGGTCTACTTCTTCGGCATGGCCAGCTCCATCTGGTGGGTCATCCTGTCGCTCACCTGGTTCTTGGCGGCCGGCATGAAGTGGGGCAACGAGGCCATCGCGGGCTATGCGCAGTACTTCCACCTGGCCGCGTGGCTTATCCCCAGCGTCAAGTCCATAACGGCGCTGGCACTGAGCTCCGTGGACGGGGACCCGGTGGCCGGCATCTGCTACGTGGGCAACCAGAACCTGAACTCGCTGCGCGGCTTCGTGTTGGGCCCGCTGGTGCTCTACCTGCTGGTGGGCACGCTCTTCCTCCTGGCGGGCTTCGTGTCGCTCTTCCGCATCCGTAGTGTCATCAAGCAGGGTGGCACCAAGACAGACAAGCTGGAGAAGCTGATGATCCGCATCGGCATCTTCACGCTGCTCTACACGGTGCCTGCCAGCATCGTGGTGGCCTGCTACCTGTACGAGCAGCACTACCGCGAGAGCTGGGAGGCGGCCCTCACCTGCGCGTGCCCCGGCCCGGACGGCGGCCAGCCGCGCGCCAAGCCCGAGTACTGGGTGCTCATGCTCAAGTACTTCATGTGCCTCGTGGTGGGCATCACGTCCGGCGTCTGGATCTGGTCCGGCAAGACCGTGGAGTCGTGGCGGCGCTTCACCAGCCGCTGCTGCTGCCGCCCGCGGCGAGGCCACAAGAGCGGCGGCGCGATGGCCGCTGGGGACTACTCCGAGGCGAGCGCGGCGCTCACGGGCAGGACCGGGCCGCCGGGCCCCGCCGCCGCCTACCACAAGCAGGTGTCCCTGTCGCACGTGTAGCAGGCCGCGGCCGGCCGAGGGACCCGGGCCGGGACGTTGAGGGGAGGGCTGGTTTTGTTTGATAGTTTTGCCAAGGTCACTTCCGTTTACCTTCATGGTGCTGATGTCCCCTCCCGGGGCAACTTGGAGAGAGGGAAAAGGAGCGGTTTCCAGGGCGTACCTGTCCCAGTTCTCAGAGGGGCTCAGCTCACGTGTAATTCTATTTTGCGTTTCTTACTACCTTCCTTCGGGGAACCCTCTTTTTAATTTATATGTATTTTTCTTAATTTGTAACTTTGTTGCATTTTGGCAACAAAATTTACCTTTGCTTTGGGGGCTTTACAATCCTAAGGCTGGCGTTGTAATGAAGTTCCACTTGGTTCAAGTTTCTTTGAACTGTGTGGTCTGAATTGGGAAAATGTATTTCCTATACGTGTGTCTTTTTTAAAAATGTGAACAGTGAAAGTTTGGGTTGCTGTGACTGGAAAGTGGTTCCGTGTGCTTTTTCAGCTGGTTTCTCCTTCCATTGCCCACTGTGTCCAAGATGCTTTAAAGTGAGCTGCTGTTTATAGCCCCAAGTCATACCAAGGAGGGGATGGTAACATGGTTAGGGCCTCCCCAAAGCGACAAGGTTAGGGGAGTGCTTAGTGGTTTTGTGTTCATCCTTAGCTCTGCTTAGGGAGCTTTGGCTTTTTTTCTGTAGTGCTTGTAATCATTCTCATTCTTAACAGCACAGGGTTGTGTCTTGAATAAGTTAAAGGAAGCATTATCGAGTGTCTGGTATAAATATATGCCTTAGTGAGAACCTAAGGGATGGTGGTGATTGATTGCGCTTGAATTCTAGACTGGTGAGATGGCAGCTTTGCCCCAAGAGGCAGTGGGTGGTTCTTAATAGGCTTCAGTGATCCCTATTTTTTTTTTTTTTAAAAAAAGAACTTGTGTTATAATTTGGATAAAAGTATAAAACTCTCTTCTCCTGGAAGTACTGAGTGATAGTTGCTAAAGGGGGCTACTTTTAGATGTAAGGACTAAAATGGATATACTTCCAGTAATTAAAGTAAATTTCCAACACTTATCTGCTCCCCTCAGCTCCACCTCCTTTATCATGTTAAACAGTCTTTTTGCTTTTCTTATTCCTCCTCTCCTGGAGAGCTGTGATTAGAAACCACACCCACCCTTGAATGAAGTGCTTGAACTGGGGGAGGGAGGCTGGCTACCTGTGAACAAACACTGGCTGCAGTGAGGGAAAATAAATGTCCCTGGACTTTGGACTAGTTTATAACCAGATATTCTAAAAGCAGCAAGACATTGCTCTCTGGAATCTCTGAAAACAAATGAGACCCATAACATGCTTACATAAGCTTTTAAAATATGGATCAGTGTAATAATGCCATCACAAGAGGGAAGCTCCTTTTTTCACCCCCACTTCTATATTTTTCTTTTCCTCCTCTTCTGAGAAAGCCTGTATGTTGATGATTATACACACACACACACACACACACACACACACACACACACACACGCTCTTTGCTATTAGAGAATTCAGTTTACTTTACTAATCTGTTTAACTATTCCTTCATTCATATATGAAAGCCTGTATATTGATGAATATACACACATACTCACAGAGGTTTCTTTGCTATTAGAGAATTCTGTTTGCTTTTCTAATCTGTTTAACCATTCATTCATGAAGAGTGTGAGGCCATTACTGGGGAAGGGGGTGACAGTGCATCTGCCAGCAAAATACCAATGGCCAGGATTGAGTGGGGACTAAATTTAGGAAGCTGAAATGGCCAAAGCAGTTAAAATTTGAGAAAGCCTCCCTAGGAAAACCACTGGAGTCTAAACATTTGCACCTCGTTTATACCAAAGTTGGGGAAAATAAAATTTAAGCCTGGGTCAGTTTTTACTTCATGGATTTTAAGTAGACAAATGCACAGTTCCCATAGGGAATTTAAACACTTGCTGGTCGGAGAAACCTAGTTTTAAGGACTCTCAAAAGCTGTTCACATTTATAAAAATGCACTGCTCTTACACAACTTATCCTCTGAATCAAAATTAAAATTTCAGTGGATTTGACAAAGCCAAGTACACATAGCTACAGAACTTTGTGCCTATCTTATTTCTCTGCTTATTCTAGAAAGAAGCCTCTTCCTAGAATCTTGAAATAAATCCCCTATTTGAGTGCCAGTTCCTCTCCTGTTTTTCAAATGACCTTTTCTGATCACCTTGAACTCTTTTCTCATTTGTCTTCCCAGAACGCCTTCAGTCATCGTGCCTGATTTGGGTTGTCCCCCTCTCCTTCCTTTTCTTTGTGGAGGAATCCAGAAGTGATGGGCAGTGTACCCAAAAGTTGTGGGATGAAGAGGATGAAGTGGATGAAAGTGATTTTCTTCATGTTTAAAAAAATTTTTTTAAATTTTAGCAACATACTAAACCTAAAAAGAACAACTAACTTGCTTAAAAAATAAGAGTGGAAACAAAGGCTGCTAAGCGCAAGGGGAGGCAATGTAAGTAAGGCTTTTTGGGAGTTTAGTGCCAGGCCAACTTTCAGAGGTACTACTGTTATGTCTCGATTCTCAACGCTCATCTCCCTCTCTCTTCCCTCATCCCCTAAAAAAAAGAGACGAAGATAAAGCCTACCTGTTTCCCTAAAAGTCTTGCTAATGTCGGCCACCCCAGGGGAGGAAAACTGGATCTATGTATATATGGCCTCCTCCTGTTTCCATCTATATACTTATTTCCCTCTGATTTGCATTTTATTATGAAAACAAGTCATGCTTATGAAAACAATTGTAAAATGAAAGGTTATGGGGTAGTTCAGCAACTTTTTCACAGCTAGCCTTGAGAAGCTGGGGAGGACTTGAGGCCCAGTTTAGTCTCTTATGTACAGCTTCAGGGCTGTCCCTTTCTCAGTTCAATTTTAAGCAATGTCTCACTTCATAGATTAGGGGGTTAGGATTCAGACAGGTGTCTAAATAAACTAGTGGTACCTCTCAGTGAATCAGATTAACCAGATTTTAGAAAGTCTTTTTAATTTATATTATTTCCCTCCTCACATTTTGAAGTTGACTAAATTGGCTGGAAATAATTTTTCTTGGTGCCTTATTGGTTTATTCTTGCAAACCTTTGTCCTATTTTCATGTGACCATTGCCAGCGATCAGGGCCTGTGTGCGTGTGTTGTGTGTAATTGTGTGCGTGTACAAGCTTAAATAGTGTGCCGACAGCACTGTTTCAGAATTGGTATTCATTAGGCTGTTTCCTCCTGGGCCAGGGCTGCACTAATCCTGACACTGGCTGCCAGGAGAAAACTTCATGGATCACACACCGAACCTTAATAGCAGCATCCGTGACCTGCACTCTCCAGCACAGAATGGGAACCCCAGAGCTAGGAAATGTAGTTGTATATTTTAATGAACTGCTACCCCTGCTTTCACTTTTGCCCTCTACAGAAAGACCAAGGGGTGGGGGGAGGAAGGAGGGACAAAGCTTTGAATAACTACTTTCCAACACTGAATGTGGCAAACAGGCCAGAGAACATCACACATGTAGGCAGGTGTGTGGGACAGTGGCTAAGAATTGCCTGTTCCCTCCGCATTGCCCTTTCTTGTCTCCAAAGTCCAATCAAGTGATCCTGGGAAAGAAATCTGCCTGGGTTGGGGAGGATGGTTCTGAAAGAAGAAACTACCAAGACATTAAAGAAGGGTGAAGGGTAGGCAAGATATAAGTAAGTAACCTGACTCAACTCTCAAAAGCTTCTAGCAGTTTGATGACAATTACAGGATTTATTTCAGCCAGAATAATGTCTGTTTGTGGTACATCATTTAAGACAATATTACTTCATATTGTTACAAATTGTATAGTATGTATGTTCTGTGGATGTGTATATACATAATATATATTATATATATGAGAGATTTAGTGACTTTTGATACGGGTTTGGTGCAGGTGAATTTATTACTGAGCCAAATGAGGCACATACCGAGTCAGTAGTTCGAGTCCAGGGCATTCAATACTTTTTATGATTTCCATATATGTATGGTGCCTGTCTCATGCAGTATAGTCACTGTCATGTTAAATCCAGAACTTACAAATCAGAGCCAGCGATATTTTATTTGTAGACAATCAACTTGAATCTATAAATTATTACTGGCAGATGATAATAATTCTGAATCCATAACACTAACAAAAGCAAACCCAGAGCATCTTGATAAGAAGTTTTTGTTTTTGTTTTGTTCCTGGGAGTCAGGAGAATGGCAGTTGTATGTGGTTATGTTAGTCTTAAGATAATTCGTTGACCTTATTATTTCAGAATAATTTTGTATGTATTATATTTGTGGGAAGGTAAAATAATGGTTTGAGATTTTTTTATCAAATATGGAGATTAGTTATTTATGAACAACAAAGAAATGTCTATTTTTGTTTCTTTGTTCCCAATTAATGTAGATAAATTTTAAAATGCATTAAAGCGATGGTAAAGAAAATAAAAAGATGCTGTAGATGTCTTTTTCTCCTCATGTTTTTATGGAGAGACACACTGCTTTCTAAGAGTATCTGAGGAGAGAAGTACTTAAAATATAAGCAGCAAAAATTTTACTAGTAAGTGAAATCCAGCACATTCCAATCACCAGAAGCAGAACTAATTAAAGCATGTTTTACTTGAATATACGTCCTAGGGTTTTCCTGCCAATCCTGCATTTGTTTCATGATTCACTTGAAGAAATGAAGGGAGGTACACGGAAGAACAGAGACATTGCCTGAGATTGCATTCCATTTTATAAACCCTCCGTTTACACTGAACCTACTTGAATAGAGATGGTGCTGTTCTGTGTGCCTGGCTGGAGGGAGGGTCTCCCAAAACTTTTGCAGCAGTTGGATCCACAACTTGGTATTGAGCTGAAAAAGTTTGTACCAAGCCAAGATGAGAAGGTAGAACCTGATTTAGGGTTGGCTCCTCCGTGATAATCTGGACAGATGCTTCGTAAACCTGAGACACTATTGTCACACTACCTTCTACTGATGCTGCTTTGGTAAAATGCAGAGTAGCCACCAATCCAGCAAACGACACCTCATTTTAATGCCTGGTGTGTCAATGTCCTCCAGCAAAGCCCTGAGATGTAAGAATGTGGGAGCACATGGGTAATTAGGAACTTAAAATGTTTAGGGAAGACAACACAAACCCAGTAAGAGGTGAGTTAGCAACGTGGAAGTATGCAATTCAATGTCAGTGTGAGAGCGCTGTGAACTTTATTAGATTGTTGGGAGAAGCAGACGAGAAAATACAGTAGTTGAGCTGAGTCCTGAGAGAAGAGCAAGTGTACCTGACATGTGCAGGACTACAGCCAGCACATCGTCCCCAGGCTTTCTCATTGCTCATTCCCCTCCAGCGGAAAAGGACAGGGTAGGGGACGGGGGCAAAGTCACAGGCTGGAGCAGAAACTC